GCCAAACATGGCGAACGCAATGCTTTGGAGAAAGAGGAAGATAGAGTAATCCCAGCGGTCTTCCACAAAGATCGCGTACATCCCCGCACCGAAAATAAAGGCAGCCATACCCAATTCCCTCTTGTATATTCTGCAGGAAAGAAGACATGAGAATATTAGGATAAATTGTGGATAAGAGAAGCAATGTCTGCTCTTGGAGCATTCACTTACGTGCGGTTGAACCAAGAGCTCTTAGAATTCTTGGGCTGGGCTTTATCCGCTCCTTGCTTCACCAGGCCTTCAGAAATGACTGGGAGACTCAGACTATGTGGAATGGCTCCAGCTTTTCCCAAATACTTCGCCAGCCCTGTCTTTGCAGTTGCTGCATCAGTCTGGACCCAGTTCCCAAGCTTCTGGGTTACAACCCATGAATGAGCCGTAGATAGGCCCAGGATTCCAGAGACCATTGCGGAGAACTTGACAATGCTCATGGCATTCTCAAATAGAACAAATGGCACAGTGTACAGCCACGACCTAAGACAGCAGCCAAGATTGTCATTATACCGTACACGAAAACGAGCAAAGCAGTTGCGGTTATGACACTTACCTTGGAGTGAAAGCCACTGTTGAGATAGTCACCAGGATGGGCACATAAACCAAAGCCCAAAATGGGATCGTCACTTCAGGAGCCACCACACAGATCGGTACCAATGTGCAGTAGAATATAAAGGACACAATATGGGTGGCGAACAACCTTGTTCCAAAGAAGAAGCAATTCAGGTAAATCTTTTGAACAAGTGGGATCTGAGCAGGGGCAAACACAGTTAGTACAACTGCGGTCAACATAAACAACTGGCCGCTGCTGATTTACGTACCTCAGATTCCCAGACTTGATCCATAGCTTTTCTCCAGAGTTGCATTGGCCCACAGCTCCACCGGTGCTGCTGGTGCCTGAAAGCTGCATATGTTGATGGAATCTCGTTAACACACTGCACACATGACAATGGCACGGGAGGGAGGGCACGTCAGTGAGACCATTCAGACCACAGAAAATAAAGTGGAGCAAGAACGCTGGCTTACCGTTACGTCATTCAAGAATATAAACTTCCAGCCTCTAACGTAAGCTCGTAGAGAAAGATCCATATCCTCAACGGTTGTCCTGTTATTCCAGCCGCCTGCATCCTTGATTGCAGAGAGCCTCCATACTCCAGCCGTTCCTGCAGCCAAAAAAACGCTCAATAATTAGTTACTGAGGCACGTGAGAGAAACGGACAATGTGTCACCTACCATTGAAATTGAAGAAGTTGCCCGTTGCAAATCTGGCATACTGTTCGCACTTCAGGTGATAATTAAGTGAAATCTCTTGGACTCGAGTCAAGACGGACTCGTCCGCATTGGCAAACACCCAGCGTGTTTGGACAAACGCAGCCCGCGGATTGTCCTGTCCGTAGCCGATACAGTAAGACTTGGCCGGAAAGAAACAAAGCTAACGCGTCTGAGGACTTACAATGAGATACGGAATTGTCTTAAGAAGGAATTCAGGCTCTGGGCTGAAGTCTGCATCAAATATAGCTGTGAATTCGTAATCTCCAAGTGCCTTCTCAGCCTCAATCATTGCTCCAGCTTTATATCCTTGCCGATTGGATCTCCAGCGATCCTCCACGTGAATTCCAAGAGCTACCTTTTCGGCCACTGCAAGGAAGGAGAGAAGGGTCGATATGATGCTGCGCGACTGGAAACATGCGGAAGAAAGAAAAGTGATCTGATACCTTTCTTAACCACCCTGCTGCGAGTGATGGGGCAGGTTGAATCGTCCAATATCTGGATGTACAGGCGTGATCTCGGCCATATCAGCTTGCAACATGAGTCAATCACTTGCTCGCACACCTGCAAGGTAATCATAACAGAGCACGTCAAACAGTGCGGGACGTAGAAGCGATATGCGTTCGGAATACCAGATGTGGCGCATGCCCTCACCTCTTTTTCGTTGAACATAGGAATCTGAACAACAACTTTGGGAAAGGCCTCGGGACAGGTAGCTGGATCTGGCAAGTTGTTCGCTTCGAAGGCTTCCTCTGGGCGTTTCTTGGAGAACTTCCAGTACAAGGCGACGTAGAAGTGGAAAAGACGGTCTGCAGCGACCAGCGACGAGAGGAATGCAGTAACTCCCACAAGAATTTGCAAGACAGGAGAGAGAAAATTGATGCGAGCCTCCCTTCCTTTGACCATCGCTACCACCAGATGACCCTTAGCAGTGTCGATGTGCTTCTTCATCGGACCATTGTCACCCAAGAGATGGCTGAGGAGAGGTTGGCCATGAAGGATGAGTAGGGCGACAGCGCAGATGGACACTATCGCCACAGGCACGATGGCTGCTCCCCGCGGAAGCATCTTGCCTGGGTGGTATGATAACTCTCTGCAGTCGTGCCTCCAGCAATCCGACACGACTCAGAGTGCAAGAGCAGGAGCCACTTGCTCGAATTTGAAAAGGCAAGCTGTACTCGAGTGAAGAAGTACCCTGCAACTCGATCCTTGAAATGCGAAACCGCACTCGGCATGCTTGATGGCGATCCCTTGGGAACCGCTGCTGTGATTGAATGCACAAGGAGTGCGGAGACATTGACGAATTTGGTCATAGAACACACATGCTGATAAGAGGAAGCCTAGAAGTACAGTAAAATTCTGGGAAGTACAGTTGGATTTGATCACTACACTGCGCGGCATGATAATCTATGCAGCAGACGTCCAACTATATTGTATCAAAACTTATTGTTTTAGTACCAGCATCTATTGTCACAAGAGAAGCATTACCAACTGAGGAAGGTAAGATTGACTCAATCATTGCCTTAGATTGAGCTATGGATGGAACTATCCAAGGTACAAAAATGTTTACAAACGGGGTGTCATAATATTATGCTCTAGCCTGTAGTGGGGTGCTCTATAGCGAGTACAACCCTTCTAGGGTTTGCTATTTGTATCCTCATTCTTGCTAGTGCAGCCTCTCTTCTTTTTTCTAACTTTCTCATGCTATCAGAGCAGGTCGATCCCCTTAGATCGATCCTGTGGGTGGGCTTACCACCTCCTAGCTTCCGCTACAACTGCTACCTCTACACTTGGTGCCACACGCCCCATGGCGTGTGGCAGGTTTTATTCCCGCCGTGCACCCCGAGGCGCGCGGCGGTTTTCTGCCCGCCGTGCGCCCCGAGGCGCGCAACGGTTCTCTGCCCGCTGTGCGCCCCGAGGCGCGCGGCGGGCAGAGGCCCCGTCGTGGCCTGAGCGCGGCCCGTACAGGCAGCGCGCGGCCCGTACGGGCTGCGCCTGGCCTGCGCGCGGCCCGTACCGGCAGCGCGCGGCCCGTACCGGCAGCGCGCGGCCTGTACGAGCTGCGCCAGGCCCGCGCACCACCCGTACGGGCTGCGCCAGGCCCGCGCGCGGCTCGGGCCGCCTGCGCGCGGCTCAGGCGACCCTATCTGCGGCCCTGGCCGCGGCCCCGTCGTCCCGCCGCCCTACCTGTGGCCCGTCGCCCTACCTGCGGCCCCGGCCCCGTCGCCCTACCTGCGGCCCTGGCCCCGGCCCCGTCGCCCTACCTACGGCTCGGGCCCGTCGCCCTACCTACGGCACCGCCTCCCCCCCCCCCCCCCCCCCACTTTTCCCGTCGCCTGTCGAGGCGACCTGAGGGGGCCGCGTGGCGGATGTGTACTGTTCCCTACCTCTCCTCCTCCTCCGTCTCCCTGTGCTGCAGCTGCCGCTGAGGGGGGGTGGACTTGTTGGAGCCGGTGGAGTGGTACTAAGGGGGGGTGAAGGGGGAGTGGAGCTAGGTGTGTAGCAGCGGGTGTGTGTCAGGGGGAGTGGGATCGTTTGGGAAGCTGAATGGAGGTTGCCGTCGGGTCGCCAGCAGCACCTGTATTCCGGGGAATTGCTCCGGTAGCCCAGTCGTAGCCAGCTGTGCCAGCCGCCCGTGGGTCCGTTGCTCGTCTGCCGTTACTTTAGCCGCGGGGCCAGTTACTCCAGTATTCCGGAGCGTTGTTCCGGTAGCCGCTGTGCCAGTGTGCCTCCTGTTGCCCGTGTGTCTGCAACTTCAACCGTCGCCTCCTATCTTCTCTCACTCTCTCTCCTCCTCACTTGCCCTATGCGATAGCCCCTAGCTTTGTTCATAATTGTGAACTTAAACTATTGCTTCTTGAACTTGTGCTCAGAATGTGTAGTGACATTGTGATCCACCCTAAGCTTGTACTGCTTTGCTTGCTCTGCTGATTACACCCCACTTCGGCTTTGGGGGTGTGTCAGAATATTATGCTCTAGCCTGTAGTGGGGTGCTCTATAGCGAGTACTATGTGTATCCCCATTCTTGCTAGTGCAGCCTCTCTTCTTTCTTCTAACTTTTTCACGGGGGTGTGTGTTTTTGGAGTCACATAGAATCTAGTATAGAAGCAAAAGCTTATGGATTTCGTTTAGATAACACCCGTTCCTTCGAGGAGGTCCTCTGGCTGTCAAGACTCAGGGTGTGGCAACCTGAACGAGTTTTACCGTTCTTCAAGGTTGTGTCCTACATGGTATCAAACATTCGTTGAGGTGCAAGCTCATAGTCCTCATGCTCCCCGTACCGAACATTGCGCTCGCGTGCATGCACCTGCGATGGGGAGATACCCATGGGAAGATACCCATCAACCACAACGTGCGAAAATAGGGAGTAATAAAGAAAAGAAAGACATGAAGTGTGGATCGAGGAGGCCCGTAGGTGAGAGTGACATGTGGACCAGCGCACACAAGCACTGTGTGGCCAATTAAAGGGCTTGACACAGAACGGAGGGCAATGTGCAACGCGTTTGGTGTGCCGTGAGTACTGTACTGAGCTGAGCAGTGACCAGTGTGCACACACCCGTGTGAGGTACGTTCGGTCAGAGGAGATCTGCTCATGGACCAGCGCCAGCTTCTTGGACAGCTTCGTGGCCCTGCACACATTCACACGTGCAGCACAAAGGGTTGTGACACATGTGAGAATTCTCAAATATGAGGAATGTTCAGTTTGAGGAGACATGCTCGCGGAGAAACGCCAGCTTCTTGGAAGTCTTCATGGCCCTGCACACTCATAATGGAGCATTCATGAAGAAAAACGGATGCACCTTCACAGTGCAGCACACATGGTGCATGGGGATACCATGGACGCACACTCACAGTGAAGCACCCATGCAGCAACATTGGATCGGATCAGCAATGGGTCAACAACAATAAAATTAAAACCGTGCATCAACTTTGGATCAGCAGAGCATAGACTTTACTGCGAAAAAAAAAATCAGAGTACAAGTGAGAAGGACATGGAGTGTCAACTGCGAGGGAGCATCTGAATGTGCCTCTCACATCTGAAAGAAAGAAAAGAAAAGAAAAGAAAAGAAAACCGAACTTCATGAATTTCATCTTACCTCTGGATGTGCTCCTCCACCACAGCAGCCATGGCCAGCGAGTCGTACTTCTCAGGGTCCTCCTCAAAGCTCACCATGCCCGCCTGCTGGTCTATCCTCGCAAACATCTCCCCATCTGCTATCTGCCAGGCACACAGCGAGAGGTGAAGAGTCACATAGGAGGCCTTTGAATTGACTCCAAAGCTCACCATGCCTGCCTGCTGGTCTATCCGTGCAAACATCTCCCCATCTGCTATCTGCCAGGCACAAGGAGGTACATGTGCATAGCCACATATGCTTAGACACATACAACACCCTCCACTTGACTCCAAAGCTCACCACGCCTGCCTGCTGGTCTATCCGTGCAGAAATCTTCCCATCCGCTATCTGCGACACACACAATTATACTTTGCAAGAGTTCTTTAACAGTTTACCTCACGGGCTACAGGCCTGAGGCTATGGATGATACATGACAGACCGGAGTGGGGCACATGAATGTTTTTTGAGACACTCGGGAAAAAAAAATGACTCAGGAGAGACCTCATGGTACCATGACTTGAAGAAGGAAGGCAGTTAGGTTTTTTTTTTTTTTTTTTGGAAGTGATTATTTTTGTCTCACCATGGAAAGGAGGTATTTCTCAGCCTCGGCAGGCGAGGACAGGTGCACCGACTGAGCAAGGTCGGAGAGCGAGAGAGTGAGGTAGGTGTGCGTGAGACGCTGAATGCTGCGCTTGGGGACCGATGCAACAACCTGATGGGCCAAGCCTAGGTTGTTGTCCTGGGAAGTGAAAGGGAACGGGGAGAAGGGGAGGGGAGGAGAGAGAAGGGGAGAGAATAAGGGTGTGCGAGGAGAGATTGGGAGTGATGGATGCAGTGCGATAAGCTGAATTCTCGTGGATAGTGCAACACAGTGTGTTGGTGCGAGCACCCACACACTGCCTTGAAAGCTCCAACTCACTGCCTTGAAAGCTCCCACTCACCGCCTTGACGCCTCCCACATACCGCCCTGAAGACGTGCTCGAGCGAGTCGACAAACTTCTTGAGAGCCCTGAGTGCCGGTGGCATGGCAGAGCACACACACAACAGCTGAGCGCGTTGGTGCGAGCACCCACTCACCGCCTTGACGCCTCCCACTCACTCACCGCCTTGAAGGCTTGCTCGTGGGAATCGACAAACTTCTTGAGCTCTGCTGCATCGCGAGACACGTAGATGTTCGCCAGGTCGTGATAGTCCTGGGAGGGGTGAAGAGGGATGGAGAGGGATGGAGAGGGGTGGAGAGGGGTGGGCAACGGATTGCAGAAGGAGGACTCGTGGAGAATGGGAGAGACTTAAAGCCAGGTCACGAGAGTCCTGTGGGTGGAGGGGTTGTGGGCTGATGCAACCAGATCACACCAGTCAGAATACAGAACAACAAAAAAGCATTGTGTCAGCAGAATGTGAATGAATATGCACATGTGCCCTCTCTCACCCACCTGGCAGCATGCCTTGAGTCCTCTCTGCACGATGCCTGGCGTGAACTTGGGTAGAGGCGACAGCTGCTCTCATGAGACCGTGGGGAGTGGGAGCGAGGGAAGGAGTAAATGAGGGAGCAAAGGAAGGGATGGAGAAAGGGAGTTGTTCTAGCCCTCTCTGCACGATGCCGAGTGAACTTGGGTACAGGCGACAGCTGCTCTCATGGCACCATGAGGGGAGGGAGCGAGGGAAGGGAGCGAGAATAGGGAGCAAAGGAAACGGCGGGAGGGATGGAGAACGGAAGGAAGAGTGTTGTTCTGCACCATTCCACTAATAAACAGCAAGAATGAATTAACTACTAGAACTAGCTCAAAGCCTCCTTGCTGATACAGCACCCTTGCTAGCACAACAAACAAGGCACACACCACACCGCACGCCACCGCATCACACACCTGTGCGTGCAGGATGAGCGACACGAGCATGTGCCTCTTGTATGTTGCCACTGTGACGGCATTCCCCGGGCGAGCAGGAGATGGCAGCACACCACACCAGACCACACCACACCGCACTGCACCGCAATGTGCCACACTGTACCCACCTGGGCATTCAGTATGAGCGACAGGAGCACATGTCTCTTGTATGCCGCCACTGTGATGGGATTCATGGGGGACGGAGGAGATGGCATCACACCGCAGCAAAGAACACCACACCATACCTCACCATACTGCACCCCACCGCACCTCACCGCTCCACACACCTGGGCGTTCAGGATGAGCGACACGAGCACATGTCTTTTGTATGCCGATACTGTGATGGCATTCACGACTTGTGCTGGGGATGTGATGGCCTGGCAATAGGGGGGGGATTGGTTGGGAGGTGGGGGAGATTGAGGGAGAAAGGAGGTTCAATGAAGGGAGGAGAGGGGAGGTTCAAAGAAGGGAGGAGAGGGGAGGTTCAAAGAAGGGAGGAGAGGGGAGGTTCAAAGAAGGGAGGGGAGGGGAGGTTCAAAGAAGGGAGGGGAGGGGAGGTTCAAAGAAGGGAGGAGAGGGGAGGTTCAAAGAAGGGAGGAGAGGGGAGGTTCAAAGAAGGGAGGAGAGGGGAGGTTCAAAGAAGGGAGGAGAGGGGAGGTTCAAAGAAGGGAGGAGAGGGGAGGTTCAAAGAAGGGAGGAGAGGGGAGGTTCAAAGAAGGGAGGAGAGGGGAGGTTCAAAGAAGGGAGGAGAGGGGAGGTTCAAAGAAGGGAGGAGAGGGGAGGTTCAACGAAGGGAGGAGAGGGGAGGTTCAAAGAAGGGAGGAGAGGGGATGTGGTGTGATGTGATGTGATGTGATGTGATGTGATGTGATGTGATGTGATGTGATGTGATGTGATGTGATGTGATGTGATGTGATGTGATGGCATTCACGCCCTGTGCGTGGTGATGTGAGGGTCTGACAATAGGTGGGAGGTTGGGTGGGAATGGACAAGCGGGGAAAGAGAATGGGGGAGGCTGGGAGAGGCAGGGAGGTGGGGTTTCGACAGTGCACGAGAGGGATCGCATAGGGGAGATGAACGGCTGGGATGAATAGGCCACCAGACTGAAAGATAGACGGATAAATAGATAGACAGATAGCTGGATAGATAGACGAAAAAAAGATGGATCCTCCTTCTTTTGTGAAGGATGCCTGGAGTGGGGATCTAAAGTGGTGCGATACAGACCCGATTGGTACAGAAAGACCCGATTGGTACAGAAAGACCCGATTGGTACAGAAAGACCCCAGGCAGGAAAGGATCTGGAAACAGCAGTTGCGTCCCTTGCTTCCCTATTTAACAGCAGTTGCTGAGCGTCACACATGCATGAGACCCCACTCACACATTCTGTCTGCAAGGCCGTCGAACCATGCTCAATGAGACACCACCTAAGTTGGAATATACGCTACTTTGCTTTTGCGTTTTGCGTTTATACTCTTAACGAATTCGTACGCTGCGTATAATTTGAAAATTCGCCGAGTTGAATTTCAGGCAGACCGAAAAAAAAAATCAGTCTGAAGCTCGCGGCGTGGCGATCTCTATTTCGAGTCGCAGATGTCGCGAACTGATCTCGAATTTTGAATTTTCAGGCGGGGGATTAAGGATGGACATGTAGAGTAGGGGGAGGGGTGGTAGCATGAATGTGGTGGAGGAAGATGTAGTGGTAAATTAGTTTTACGGGTTTTTTTTTTCTCTAACTTTCATATTAATCAAAAGGGGATGGAGGTTACATCACCCCCCCATCCCCACCTCTTACCCCAAAAATCTGCCCGGGAAAAAAGTTTTCCCTGCCCAAGCAAGCGTATTCTTGTGCGTACCAGACCCCTCATGGCCAGCGTCTAGCGTATATACTCTCGCGTTTATACGAGAGCGTACAAAACGCTAAAAGCGTTTATTCCAACTTAGGACACCACTCACATGCATGAAGAGGTCTAGAGCCTTCTGATACTGCTTCCGACCCACATAGATGGTGCCTCTGACCACACTCAAATGCGTCAAACCGCACTCAAGAGCGTCAAACCGCACTCATGTATGAACATCCACGCTCATACGCATCCGTCGATCGAACCCCACTCACATGCATGAAGAGGTCTAGGGCCTTCTGATACTGCTTTAGACCCACGTAGATGGTACCTCTGCAGGGAGTGGGGCAGGAGGGGTTGTGTGAAGGGAGGGGGCTGACAAAGAGGAGGGGGAACGAGGACAGACAAGCGATAGAGCAAGGAAGAAGCTGACAGTGGGAGAGGAGGAAGAGAATGCTGGTCATGAACCCCCCACCGTCCCCTCCCAAAAAAAACAAAAAACAAACAAACATTATTTGTAGCAGCACAAGAATCTCAATCCATTCAAGAAGCTCACCCGTAGAAGCAGTACAGAAGAAAGTCCCGGTGCACCAGCCCCGTCTTCTTGGGGTCAATATCGAGAATATCCCCCTGCAGCAGGTCCCCTCCCTGGCGGTACAGCTTGGCGAGCAGGCAGAGCTGCAGGCAGTCGGCGTGTTGCGGGGTGAGGTGCTCCGCTGTGGTGCACTGCTGCACCTTGCTGATCGCCCACCGTAGAGGCAGGACGCCTCGAGCGTACTGGGAGTGGGAGATGAGCTGGTCTCGCAGGCGATGGCACAGGGTGGCGACTGGGAGGCGGGGGGGGGGGGGGGGGGGGGGGGGGGGGGGGGGAGGGAGCGTGGGAGGGGGAGAACAGAGAAGGTGAGAGAAGAGAAGCTACCCTCTCTGGCGGTACAGCTTGGCCAGCAGTGAAAGGAGGTGAGGGATGAATGGAGCAGGCAGAGCTGCAGGCAGTCCGCGTGTTGCGGGGTGAGGTGCTCCGCAGTGGTGCACTGCTGCACCTTGCTGATCGCCCGCCTCAAGGGGAGCACTCCCCGGGAGTACTGGGAGTGTGTGATGAGTAAATCGCGCAAGCGATGGCACAGGGACGCGACTGGGAGGTGGTGTGCAAGGGGTGGGGGAGGGAGGAGGGGGGAGGTGGGGAGAAGAAAAGGGGGAGAAGAACGGAGGGGAAGGATCGGGCGGAGTGTGAAGAGAGGGGCTAAAATGAGCAGTCAGATCAGAGCTGCAGGCTGCCCGCGTGTTGGGGTGTGAGGTGCTCCGCGCTGCTGCTGCGCTGCAGCTTGCTGGTTGCCCAGCGTAGAGGGAGAACCCCCCGGCAGTACTGCGAGTGGGAGACCAGTAGATCGAGCAGGTGATGGCACAGGGAGGAGACTGGGAGAGACGAGGGAAGAGGAGGGGGAGGGGAGGTTTGGGAGTGGGGAAGGAGGGCCGCTTGGTTTGATTTGACTTGGAAAGGGGAGTCGGATTGCAAGCAACTCACACTTTTCAGGCGTGAGGGAGACCTGAGTGGGCGAGGCCACTTTTTTTAATTTGATGATCGCCCCCACCACCTGCTCCCACAACTCAACTACCCAGGTGCAGTGTGCTGCATGCGGCTTTGCTGCACAGGTGCATGCTCTTACACTTTTCAGGCGCGAGCGCGAGCTGAGTGGGAGAAGCCGCTTTGATGAAGTTGATGATCGTCCCCACCACCTGCTCCCACAACGCGCCCGCCCGGTGCCTAATGGGGGTGCTGCTCCCACAGACAACTAGTGAGCCCACTGCAACTCACACTTTTCAGGCGCGAGGGCGAGTTGAGTCGGGGAAGCCACTTTGATGAAGTTGATGATCGCCCCCACCACCTGCTCCCACAACTCGCCTACCTGGTGGTTCCTGCGCTGCTCCCCTAGCCCCCTAATAAAATTCCCAAGGGACTGCACTGCATGTGGCTGTTGGGGCACACGAGCGATCTTCTCGCTAAGCAACTCACACTTTTCAGGTGCGAGCGCGAGCTGGGTGGGAGATGCCACTTTGATGAAGTTGATGATCGTCCCCACCACCTGCTCCCACAACGCGCCCGGTGCCTGCGCTGCATGCGCATCACTGCAGGGGGAGGGTGAGAGAAGAGGGCGTGGGGGGTGAAGGGGTTGGAAAGCAAGGAAGGAGGGGAGAGAGAAGGGAGAAAGCGATGCGAAGACTACACCCATGCGGCGCATCATAAGACTACTTCCGTCCAACCTCTTTCCTTTTCACTTCCTTCCTCCCCCCCTCACTTCCCCCCTGCTCCTTTTCTTCCCCCCAGGAAAGCGCGCTCACAGGAAGAAGAGGAAGGCGAGAGAGTGCGGCGCAGGATCTTCCCCTCTCTCTTCCCTCCTTCCCCCCTCCCCTCTCCACCCTCCTCCCCCCCCCCCCCCCAATTCGCACATTTCCCTTTTCCCCCCACCCTCCCCCCACAGACTCACAGAAAGAAGAGGAAGGCAAGCGAGTGCAAGGCGGGATCAAGCGACGCGAGCAGCGTGTCGAGCTGCGGCGCGTGCTTCGCGAGCGCGTCCTCCGCGCCGCGCAGCACCTCCAGCAGGTGCGCCAGGTCGCTCCCCTTTTTCCACCAGCACGGGGTCTCTCCCCTTTCCCCCCTTCCCCTTTCCCACCAATTCACCCACTCACTTCCCCACTTCCCCCTCCCACGCTTTCCCCCCCCATCCGCCCAAATCCCCTCCCCACCCTTCCCCCACAGACTCACAGGAAGAACAGGAAGGCGAGAGAGTGTAGCGCAGGATCGAGCGACGCGAGCAGCGTGTCGAGCTGCGGCGCGTGCTTCGCGAGCGCGTCCTCCGCGCCGCGCAGCACCTCCAGCAGGTGCGCCAGGTCGCTCGCGCTGCCCGACAGGCCCTGCGCCTGAGTTACCACCTTCTCGAGTGCCTCCATCGCCACTCGCTTCGCCAATACCTTCGTCACTCCACACGTCACTTCTACTCGTCAATCGCGTTGATTTGATCCGTCGAATATATTCGTAGAGCTCCTTGATCTGTTTGAATTTGAAACGACACTATGAGTAAAATCCTACGGCTGAAACTTCGGCTTATGGTCCTAGGACTGGAAGGAAGCGCTAATGACTGCGAATTCCGATTCAAATTATAGGCGGTGCGAGTCTGTTCTTGACCAGCGTAATGCTGCGGCGACCGAAAGCCTGACGAATCTGGGCCGCAGATCCCGCTCACCCTAATGGTCGGGAAACGTCGCTTGCAGCGGCTCGGATTTATGGGCAGGAGGTTGAAGAGACAAGGCACAACTCGGACTTCTGGTCCTCGATTTTGGCTGCTTCGATATAGAGCAGCAAATCTCTGAAGTGGAACCAACCTAGTGTGTTTTTTAACAGCTCAACCCTGGGGCTTCAAATGCTAAGGGTCAAACTGACTGGTAACATCTTGGTGGGCCATTACTCGGAAGAAACGTTCGTCAACGCAACTGCAACATGGTAACCACCTACTAGAAGAAAAGCCCCTATCGATTGATGCATGGTTCGCAAAGCCCAGCCTTGCCAGTGGTAGCTTCGATCCCACCATCGCAAGCCAGACAACCTCTCCCACCACCTCCCATCCTTCCCCCTGCGCACTAGTGCCAACTCCATTGCCACGTGCTGGGTGAATTCACAGAAAGGGCGCACAACACGCTCAAGAAATGTAAGTATGGATACAAGCACACAGTGGAGCAAAGCAATCGACGGATACAAGCGTGGACCGCAAGCAAGCAATTAGAGAAGAAAGCCCAGCAAACGTTTACCTTAGGCAAGACAGTGGCTTGAGTGCGGGTCTTGGCACAGTCAAACGGATGCGACACCACCGACGCCACCGCTGCTGCCACTGCCGCTTCCAACCCTTGCGTCAACGCATACCAATACCCATTCCCCACACTCCCCCTCCCCATGTCTCCACCACCCACTCCTCCTCCCTCCGTCCTTTCCTGCTCCTCCTCCCCATCCCTCTCACTCTTCCTCCTCTGAAGCTCCTCCAGTTCCCTCAATCCCTCCTCTATAGTCACCCACCCTCCAAAGAACACCGCTCCGAAAAGCGAGTCCCGAGTCACGCCAGCTCGAAGCCCTCGCCACAGCTGAGCTGCCCCCTCCGCCCTCACTCCAGCCCTTGCGGCTTCCCACGGGGACGAGGCAGGGAGGTAGGGCGACGGGACCGGTGTCCAGGGGTAGCGGGCGAGGGAGAGGGAAAAGGTGGTTGGCGGTGGGGGGTTAGGGGGAGGGGGGGTGGTAGGGCCACGCAAGGCTGCAGAGAAGTGCCTCTGGTGTAGGGCTTGAGTGGAGGTGAGGACGGTGGGAGGAGGCGAGGAGGAGGAAACGAATGTGCGCTTGTGAGTTGTGCGGTGAGAGCGGTTAGGTCGAGAGTTGGTCTGTCTGTGTGTGTGCGGATGGGGCAGCTTGTGCTTGGGAAGAGAGGAGCCAGTCCGTGACTTCTGACTGGGGTTGGAAGATTGATTGATGGTGGCGGATTGACCGGAGGAGGTATGGTTGGGGGAGGTTTCGCTGGGGGAGGGCTTGCCTAAAGAAGAAGAGGTTGGTTGGGAAGGAGTCGAGGGGCGGTGGATGCGGATGGAAGGGCTGGGGAGGGAGATGGGGTGGGAGGGCGGGACAGGTGGCAGCAGGGGAGTGGCGAGCAGCAGGCGGGTTCTGAGGAGGTCGAATGGTGTGGAGAGCAGGGACTCTGTCGCCCCGGCTATGGCTCCTGCTAATGCTGCTTGAGGTGGGGAGATGGGCATCCAAGAAGGCAGACCATCTGGATTGTGCGGGGGGAATGGGGAGTGGGGGGGGAAGAGAAAGGGGATACGAATGGGGACAGCAGAAACAGCAAAGTTTCAGGTGAAGCACGTAGAGCAGAGACTCTGTCGCTCCTGCAATGGCTCCTGCTGCTGCTGCTGCTTGAAGCGGGGAGATGGGCAGCCAAGAGGGCAGACCATCTGGGTTGGGGGGGGGTGGGGGGAAGGCGAGGGGGGGAGTGAAGGGGAATATGAAGGGTTATGACGAAAATTATTAAAACAACGACCAGGCGTGAAGAGCAAGGATTCTGACACCCCGGCTATGCACCTGCTGCTGCTGCTGGTGCTTGAGGCGGGGAGATGGGGAGCCAAGAGGGCAGACCATCGGGGTAAAAAGAGGGGAAGGAGGGGACGGAAGAGGACAAGTTAACAAAGGAACAGGCTGCTGCTGCTCAAGGGGGGAAAAGACAGCATTATGCTCAACCGCATTGAACCGTACCCGTGCTGAGTGAGTTGGCTTGCTTGATGAACTAGAAGACCACGAGGAGAACGCGAGGTGAATGGCAAGGCAGGAAGGAAGGAAGGTGGACTCACCCATTTGGTAGGCGGCGGCAAGATGGTAGGTGGTGTAGCGGGCTGCTAGCGATGGCAGATGCCCCGCGATATGCGGTGAAAACCCCGTGAACGCGGCTGGCAGGGAGAGTGGACGATGGAAAGAGCAGAGGCAGAAAACTCAGGCGGACGAATGCGTAGAGCCTTCTCCTTCAGGCGCCTTTGCCTTCCATCGGTGTTGCTTCACTCTAGCAACTCGCATGATGAAGACAGAACTGGACCGCTGAGAAAGGGCGGAGACTAAGGGATAAGAGGGAGGGAATGGGGTGGAGAAGGGGAGGATGGTGAGAGAATGGAGAGAAGGGGAGTAGGGGAGAAGGGGAGGGAGGGACAAGGGAAAATGGGGGATGGAAACATGAAGGCATTGAGGGTTGGAGTGGTACCTCTACTTCTCCAGTTGAGACCGCTGGTAGCAGCTGCTCTTGAGGCTGCTGCTGTTCCGCTTCTCGCCAGTCCACCAGAAGATCCTCCGCCTGGTCCCCCCGCGATCGTACTGCCCTGCACGGCGCCTGTCTGTGCGACAACCGCGTGTGCGACGCTGGCCTGTGCGACACCCGCCTGCGCGACGGTCTTCGCGACATCGAGAGGGTATGTGAGGGCGCTCGCCACCACGGCTGAAACAGCTCCTGCTGCCACGTGTCGGTAGAAGAGAGGCGATCTGGATTCGCCGTCCATGACAGAGGGCTTTACCCGAACTGGCGACTCAAGAAGGTTTACAACAGTGCTCCGGCTCGACCAAATGCCTGCCAATTAGAGTCTCGCGGCAATCACGCTTGCTCGACTCTGAGCGATCTGCGTGGATCTCTGACCACTGACTTCTTCTTTGTAAAAACGAAAGCAGCCGCATTCCTCAGCTGGTGGCACGAGTCAAGCACTGAAGCCTAGCGCTTCGCCCTAGCGAACCGACCCCTGGCGCTCTGATCCGCTGACTTGTGCAGCTGTGTCATGCTTCGAGGATCCGTCAATCGCACGCGACTTGAATGGGAGGAACGGGAGGTGTGGGAGAAGGGGACTGGTTTGCTGCTAGATTTTGTACTCGCCAGAAAATCACCCGATTGTTGCCCTTCACTACACCTCAATGCAGAACGTCGATACAAGTTCCCCACGCAATCTCAATCCCTCTTCTCTGCCCACTCCTGCTTCAACTCCGGCATTCCACGACAGCAGCCCAGCGCACCTTTGCTCAGTTTCCTCAGCTGCGATCCTCTCTCTCCTGAGGAGGCTAGGCCCGTCTGGTGTGAAGGCCCCGCTTCGCCATGGCTGAAAGCACGCTCCTGGCCCGGTCACCGGCCAAATACTCTTCTTTAAGCGCCTTTTCCCCCACCCGCATTCCCCGTTCCGCCTGCTCCCCCTCGCCTCGCGCGGCATTGCCGTCCAGGATTCCAATCACCGCTTTTGCAGCAACCCGGCATGACTCTCCCCCATCTCCCCTCTTAACCCGGCCTCGCGCCTCACCGCTCGGAACCTCTCAGCGCGTCACCCGTTTATCGAGAGTACCGCTCCTTAGTCCAGCGCCCGGGCAGAGTCACCAGACTAGCAACGTTTCGGAATATTCCCGTAGCGCGGAGTGCAAGCGGCGCGGAGCGGTCGTTTCCCGCGCGTTTCTGCTCCCGGTGGATCCCTGGTCGCCCAACGTCGACTCCCAGAGCATCGCGTCGTCGCTGTTCGCCGTGTCGCTCTTCCCGTACCTCGGATTCCTCTACTTCCTCACGCGATCTGGGACGGCGCCGCGCATCACGCTGTTCGGGTTCTACTTCCTGCTCGCATTCGTCGGTGCCACGAGTGAGTGCGCACGTACTGGGAGCTGTAGCGGCATGCTTCATTAAATCTACCTTTTGCTCGCATTCTTAGGCAGCACGAGAAAGTGTAGGCACATATGAGCGGCATGTGTAGGACGTTATAGAATTTCCCGCATTCGTCAGTGTTACTAGTGAGTGCGCTGGTAGGGGCTTATGAGCTGTATTGGCATCCTATGTTCTGTTCAATTGTCAATCTGGCATGCCTCGATTTCACACGTCATTTCCCCCGCATCGTCTGACCGTGCAATTACCATGCCACAAGTGAACATCATATCTCCCTCTTTTCTTCCCTCTCACCCACCCCCGTCACTCTATCTTTTCTCCCTCCCGACTCAATTTCCCTCCGCCCTTCTCTCCTGCACCTTTTGCCCACCGTCCATACCCTCCCTCCTCGAATGCCTCAATCCCGTACTCCCTGTTGCTTCACCGTCCTTTCTCGCTTCCTCTGTCCCACACTTTCCTTCACTTTCTCTTATCACTTGCCACTAAAATCTCGTTTTTGTTTTTAACAAACCTTACTTCCCCCCTCTCCCCCCCACTCCCACTCCTCCCCCTCTCTCCCCCCCACTCCCACTCCTCCCCCCCTCTCCCCCCCACTCCCACTCCTCCCCCCCTCTCCCCCCCACTCTCACTCCTCCCCCCTCTTCCCCCCTCTCCCACCCCCCTCCCACCCCCCTCCCGCTCCTCCCTCCCTCCCACCCCAACTATGATCACGAAACCTTTTTTCTCCTATGACAGTTCCTGCCGGAATATATGGTGAGCTCCTCTCCACTCCGTATAAGGCCACACCTTGGTCCTGTTGCCCCCCTTTGTGTGTAGTCGCTAATACATGGAAGTGGCGGTGTAAATTAACTTATCTTTGTTCGTTTTTCGTCTTCATGAGTGGGCTATCTTGCAGTACCGTAGCGTATGGACGCTATGCATATCTATTGCAAGGATTACAGAATGGTGTAATCCTGTTGCCATGTTGTGCGTTAACCATGCGCCATTCTGTGATGCCTGTTTGAATGTGTCCTTCCATGCAGCCAAAATTCACTATGGGACATCTCTATCTAATGTAGACTATCTACACGGCAGTGCGGAGTCCTTGCTTACAATCACAAACCTCCTGATTGTGTTCGGCCTACGCAAGGCCCTCCGGGATGAGGAGGCTAGTGAGGTTCAGGTTGGTGAATCTCCTGAAAAAGAATCTAGTGAGCGTGTAGTGGTGTCTGAAAAAGTTGAGTGACATGAACCTGTGAACTTGGGCCATCCAACCCAACTCAATCAACTTGGCATCATCAAATGCACCACGACCTACTACAAGACGTCAGAAAGTGCCAAAAACACAGTGTGCATCTAAACAAGGGAATTTTGGTAAAACATGCTCAACATTGCTGTCCATGTACCACCCTGTATCTCATCAAATGTATTTTGAGAAAATATTCCAGTTATACATTGTCGTTTGCAGCCTATGCCATTGTGAATTGCCGCGTTATACATGCGCAGACATACACGATATAATCTTGTATTGCACGAAGGGTCTTTCTCACCACACAGGCACCATATCTCAAATCTCGATTTGCTTCGCGCACTTGAGCAAAGAGTCACCCAGGTGATGCATGCTCGAACGCACGCCCCGCTGCACCTCCTTCCTTTCCTCGAATCCCCACGTGTCCTTTCGTGCTCCCTCACAAACCAGTGCTCATGGCGTCCCGAGATACCCGGACTGGGACGTCAGCGAGAAGTGCACCTTTCTGGAGACGAGGGTTTGAGGAATGGCCGTCAGCGAGTCCAGGGTGACTGCCCTGGTTACCATCCGTTCTATAACAACACCTTTCCAGTATGTGCGCGTGCAAATGGTACTGCCTGACTTACAACCTTTAGATGAAACGAGTTCGTGATTTCTTGATATCAGCCGCCAACGACGCCGTGTTTACTTAGCTCATCTGTCGCCATGGTTCGAGGGAAAGCTTCCGCAAGAATCCAAGTCCGAACCACCCGAACAATAACCAGGTCTCTGAGGCCACGGCCTGCGATCCACTATGCACAGCCTGGTAGAGGCCGTGGGATTTCAGCGAGGGGAAGAGGAGGAAGAGTCGAGCATCGACAGGCAACACAGCAGCCACCGTCGGTGGTTCTGGAATCGACCGAAGTGAGCGTCACGACAGCTGAGGCCGTTTCAGGTTCCGAAACTGCTGCGACCACTCCGTCCAGTACCCGGGGGCTTCCTGCAGCCGTGGTGGATGCGGCGTTTGCTGCAGCGGAAGCAATTGCCACTGGTGTTCCTGTGACTGGAGGCGTTCGTGCTCTTGGCGCTGCTGCTGACGTGGCAGATGATCTCCCTTCGCTCGTTGACACGTCCGCACGCCGGGATTTGGGCGAAGAGGCGTGGAAGAAGGGTACGAGAAGAGAGATCCCAATAACAGAAGCGGATTTTGAGCGTGAAGGCATACAGGAAGATGAGGAGTTATTGGATAAAGATGAGCCTATGGAAGCGCTGGTTAACGTGATGTTGGGGGAAGAACCTGGCGCAGATGGAGGAGGAGGCGAGGATGTGGAAGAAGTGGAAAGATCACCACCGCTGGAAAGTCAAGCAGCTTCTGCGAAAGACAAAGCAGCAGAGGAGACGAAGTCGTCACCAGCAGCAGCAGCAGGGGAAGAGTTTACAGGCAGCGGCAGTAGAGCTGCTGGTCGCTGGTCCTTGAGGTCTCATGAGAAGACAGCGGAGAATGAAGAGAGGAAAATTCAGGAGGTTCAGGAGCAAGAAACCAGACGGGTCAAGGTGCGGATGGGCAACAACGAGGTGACATATGAGATCAATACTACAGCTCCTCTGAAAAACATGTTTGCACTCTTCTGCCAGCGACTGCATTTACCTGAAGGCGGGGTGACGTTCGTCAAGAATGGCCGTGTTATTCGGGGAAACCAGACCGTGCTGGAAGCTAAGCTTGCTAATAATTCCATTATTGAAGGCTATGTTCCAAGGGACGGTGGGTAGTAGCATGGAACCTTTTCTTGTTGCTTCCATTGCCCATGTTCTCTGGGGTAATAGTAGTTAGGTAGGTATGTAATGTTTTCTTGTTGGTGGAGTATCTACATTGCTCATGTTCCCCATTAATGGCTTTGATAAGTAATTATCATCTTACACCAAAATATTCAAAACGCTTCTTTTGATACTTCACCTTTTTCCTGTACCAAGATTGTTTTTGTAGCAAAAAGATAACTTCGATATGATGGTGTATGAATGTAATTCGACAAACGCCTAGTAGTGGGCTAATAAACTGTAGCAAGTGAAGTGATTGCGCGTCCTGCGGAAGGAGCGCTTCGAATTCCCAACGGGCACACCTAGAAAAGGGGCTTCTTCGGGTAGGTCCGTTCCCAAGTTCCTTCAGTTGCTTAGTATCCGCAAAAACTAATAGCTTGGTTAGAACCATGGCATTCCCTGGACATGAGAAGCATGTTTGCTGCGACGACTCGTCCGCTCCTGTCAGTGCGACGTCATTGGATGAGCTGCATTCTCTTCAAAGAAAGTCAACTTCAATTTCAGGCGGTACTAGCGCCGAGTCAATCAGGTACACATCTGATTTCCAACATAGATGCTCAAGCATTCAATCAATGCTTCTAACATTTAACATCTTTTCAGTGCCTCCTTGGCGTCTCATGCGCGGGAGCGGGGCCCTAACGTCATTAAGGGAGATCCGAACACCGCTGTTACTAAGGATGGTCATGTGCATTTTGTCCCGTCTGACTACGTCAGCGATTTTAACCTCAAAGCGACCCACGTACTTCACAATCTTTCACAAGCAGGTAGTTAACGCACTGACCAGTTCCGCACTGTTTTGGATTTGCAAAAACTTCAGACGCACTCCTTCTTGAACAGAGCTTTACGAGCTCGCGATCAAGGATGAAAAGGGGACGTACATCACGTCAAATGGAGCTCTTGCTACTCTCTCTGGAGCGAAGACAGGACGTTCTCCTAAGGACAAGCGCATCGTGAAGGAAGAGACCTCACAGGATGACCTGTGGTGGGGAAAGTACGTGTGTTTTGTTTTTCTTTCTTCCACATATGGTGAATATATCTGAGCACATCACGTTTCCGCAGGGGTTCTCCAAACATTGAGATGGACGAAGAGACCTTCTATATCAACCGCGAACGTGCTGTTGACTATCTGAAGTCTCTGGATAAGGTATGCTTCTTTCATGTAACACCTCTGGTCGTATGGATTAGATGCTCAGTACTCGTTTTGATGCAGGTCTTCGTGAACGACCAGTTTCTGAACTGGGACAAGGACAACAGGGTCAAGGTCAGAATCATTACCTCTCGTGCTTATCACGCTCTCTTCATGCACAACATGTAAGGATCTTGCCAGTTTGCCTCAATCTCAAGAAGGTAAAAGAATCCTATCTAATTCATTGAACAACTCAGGTGCATCCGGCCTACTCCCGAGGAGCTGGAAACATTTGGTGAACCTGACTTCACCATCTATAATGGCGGAAAGTTTCCATGCAACCGTTTCACACATTACATGACATCGTCGACCAGCGTTGACATAAACTTAAAGAGGAGGGAAATGGTTATTCTCGGAACTCAGTATGCTGGCGAGATGAAGAAGGGGCTTTTTGGGTTCATGCACTATTTGATGCCAAAGAGAGGAATACTCTCACTTCATTCTGGCTGCAACATGGGAAAGGGCGGTGACGTCTCCCTGTTCTTCGGCCTTTCAGGTATGTTGACCGGATACTCCTACTGTAACATTCTCTTACGAAAAGGTCTACTAACTTCGCTGTTTTTCTGTAGGAACGGGAAAGACTACCCTCTCAACTGATCCTGAGAGGTACCTGATTGGGGATGATGAGCACTGCTGGAGTGACAATGGTATATCCAACATCGAAGGAGGGTGTTACGCAAAGTGCATTGACCTGTCGCCCGAGAAGGAACCAGAGATATTTAACGCAATCAAGTTTGGAACAGGTATTCTGCTGGTGTGTTTGCTCTTAGACCGTTTTTCAACTCCTGACCCTTGTCTTTTGCAGTCCTGGAGAACGTCGTGTTTGACAGCCACACCAGGGTGGTTGACTATGCAGACAAGTCTGTGACTGGTATGCTTGTCTTGTTTTGCTCTTGTTGATAACGTCATCCACTAACATGCTGATACTCACAGAAAACACCCGTGCTGCATACCCTATCGAGTATATTCCGAACGCTAAGATTCCCTGTGTTGGACCCCACCCGAGAAATGTCATTTTGCTCGCCTGCGATGCATTCGGAGTCCTTCCTCCTGTCAGCAAGCTGACCCTTCCCCAAACCATGTACCACTTTATTAGTGGATACACTGCTCTGGTGGGTCTCACCTGTTGGCCACTCTGAGAACCCGTTCATGTTTGAAGAGTTTCTCTTTCTGAATGTTGTGTGACTGACGCACCTTCTACTGTACAGGTCGCTGGAACTGAAGAGGGTATTAAGGAACCGCAGGCGACTTTCTCCGCATGTTTTGGGGCTGCTTTCATCATGTGGCATCCCATCAAGTATGCGGGTATGCTTGCTCAGAGGATGCACGAGAATGGAACTAGTGCATGGCTTGTGAACACGGGTTGGTCGGGAGGCAGCTACGGCGTAGGAAGCAGGACGAAGCTGGCATATACGAGGAAGATTATCGATGCGATCCACAATGGGTCTCTTGCATCTGCTACATATACGCCGACCCCAATATTCGGTCTTCAAGTCCCAGACCATGTTGATGGTGTGCCTCAGGAGATTCTTGAGCCGCAGAACATGGTGAGTAGACTATCCACCCTTGCAACAGATTTCACTTTGCTCTGCACCTCGTTCTCACTACCAAATATGCGGTGTTGTCTGCTAAACAGTGGACCGACAAGGGTGCTTACAATGCAACTCTGACGAAGCTTGGTGGCCTTTTCAACTCGAACTTTTCCAAATTCACAGAGAGCATGTCTGGTGTGGATACCACCCTGGCTCAGCAGATCCTCTCAGCAGGACCTCAGCTTGCGTAAAGAATTGTACCAGACTCAATAAGCACTTCTGTGTGCAAGTCCAGGTTATCCAAGTACAGTAGGTTACAGTAGGATGGGGTGTCTAATTCAGGCAATGAGGACAGTATGGCAAATATGCCAGCAAAAGTTTGTATGGAAGTTAGATTGTTGTGTGTACTTTCAAAAAAGAATAAGAACCTGGTTAATAACAACACAACCACCACATCAGATGGCTTTATGTTGTGTAGATACAAGGCAGAATGGATCCAGGAAGAACTGGTGACACTCGTAGCTTGTCATGATTGCGATCAGTTCCTCCCAAGGGGCAATGACCTGCATGAGTAAGTCTCCTTCAGATCTTCTTTTCGCGACGAAGTGAAGATTGACGCATAGACATCTTTACTTGCACCAGCTGGTAGCCTGTCCACTGCTTTGAAATGATGCTTGACCTGAACCAAATCCGAACCTTTTGGTCGTGCTTTGTTGGCAACGCCTTCTGGTGTGTTCTTCATTCCTGCCGTTGGTCCTTCTGCTGCTTTCCTTTTGACTCCTCGCTTATCAACCAAACCCCCTGCATCAAATGCTTTGCCTTCAGGGCTCAGACTACCAGCTGCTGCCACCCCTGCTGCAGTGCTTTTCTTTTCCAAGCTTCTTGCTCTGACATCCACCACTGCCACCCCATCAACACCCCCCACTGCAGCTACCTTCAGATCGTTCCCTGTAGCAACCACATCAACCTGAGAAGAAGGAGGAGCACCTTTTTTCTTCTTCCCAGCACGCCTGGAAGCCTGTTCTTCCTCCATCCGAGTGCGCAAAACCTCCACCTCCTCCTCAGTACCGTTAATTGGAATCTGATCCGTTTCCAGAAACTTGGCATGACAGACGAGACACGTTGGGGAGGGCAGTTCCTTGAGTGCACGAGCACTTAGCACATGTCCACAGGGGCGAAGGGCGACAAACTTGAAGCTGCCACTGAACTCCTGCTGAGTGATCGGACATTGGAACCTGCAATAGACGAATATGTAAGTGAGGATGGGGCACCATGAAGTGGAGCCCGTGAATCCAAGGAAACAAAGAGGAAAACTCGCTTCCCCACCTAGACTTGTTGGACCAACACAGCAACATGCGCAATCTCACACAAGCATATTATGTCCCTGTGACTGTCAGCAAGAACAGTACTCCGTGAATCTACCCATAAAGACATGGTGGGCCCGTCACCGGACCTTACACACAATCCACCGCATACCTGACATGAGCCTTCTTGTCAAGCCCTGGAATCTCCGTCAGCTGAATCCCAACGACATCCCTCAACCCCTTGATGTGCTTCAGCGCAACGGGAATGCTCTTCTCCACTAAGGCGCGCACCACGGCTTCCTTGTTGAACACGTTTCCGAGAAGGTCCACCACACAAGGAGGAGTAAGCGGCTCGCCTGACAGATGGCAGTGCGTCCAGCTCGCCACGCGCGTGTCACGCGGGTCCACCTTATCCGGACGGCGACCAGCATACATCTGCAGGTAGCAGTCACGCGACTCAGCTCCCGTGGCTCCACCATCACCACCTCCGCCTCGCAAGGGTACGGTTACATCTAAGGTATCGTACGGACGGACATTGAGGGAGGCTACGCTGGATAAGTGGTGACGAGACGACGCGAAGGGGAAAAGCTGACGACCTCCGTGAAGCACACGGAAAGAACTGGACGAACAGCCGAAGCAGCCTCCATGACGTGAGATTTCCAAGCTTAGAGTCTCGCCGCAACGCAAGGTTGACAAGGAGAGATCTATCAACGTTTGAAGAGACGAGTTGGGACAAATCGTGAGTGGAATTATGTGCGACTCGGGCCCAGGACCTCTGAGGAAAAGCTGCATGGTTGATGTCAGGATAGAGGCGAGAAGACGATGACAAGGTCGGCCTGCCTCAAACCAAGTATGTAGAACGAGGTCACCTCGTCAACTAACAACTGCCTAATCATCAGAGCAACATATGTCCGCTATTCTTGCTTTTGTGCTGCCGTGGCCAAGAAACACTAGCGAGACGCTTGGCCCTGTGTTTGACCTAGAGTTACCATCTGGTGACGTCGCATACTCTTTCGTCCTTCGTTCTTCGTCCTTCGTCTCCGTTTCGCTCGGGGTCTTTCCCACTCAATTCTACTTTTCAGGGCGTATTTCTGCACTTTGGGTCATCAGCACTTCGGGTCATCCGAAATTGTGGGATCCAATCGGAAATTCGGAATCAAGAGATTGGGGTGCATTTCGATTGGATCCCACATCTCGGATGACCCGAAGTGCTGATGACCCGAAGTGCAGGAATACGACCTTAGTAACACAATTTCCGTGCACATCAGCCATACACCGCAGAAGTCGGATGTTTGGGCGTGTCCGAAGAAATGTGGCTCATGACGTGGCTGAGTTATACTTTGTTGATCTTTTTGTTCTGAAATTTCAAGGTGACAATATTTTCCATTCGGTGAGTCTGAAACGAGTACACACCCCCCACCAATTCCTAGCCCAATTGTTCACCGACACCCTTGGGAACAAGAAGCACTTTCTTGCGGTGACACCTAGATCTTGGTGGCTTCTTCGCAGCAGCTGATTGGTGGAAAGCTGTCGCCAAACCCGTTACAGTGTGAAATCTGGAGACTGGTTTTCATCGTCACTCGTCGTTCACGCAATCCATCGTGCATCCATTGATTTTCCTCGAGATTCAGCCTAGAAAGAAAGGGGAGACCAATTAGTCTCGAGACAGATAAAGACCGCTAAATTGGCGATCTGCATCCATTTCACTTCACTTCACGTCAGCTCACCACCACCGCGTCATCTCCGTCTGCTTGTCCGGCTTTTACTACTCCACCTCTTCTCGAGTCACCAGCTGTTTGTCCATCAAGCCGTTGCTCTCTCGCAAATTACTTTCCGGGCCAAAATTTAGTTCCTTTCGCTCGCGGCTTATGGCGTCGCGTCCTCAGAATGTCGGCATCCTCGCCATGGAGCTCTACGTCCCACCCAGCTTCGTCTCCCAGGTCGCTACATCTCTCATCTCCTGAAACTCGTATCTCATCTCGTTGTTCCTCAATGCATTATAGCCTTCGTATGAAGGATTTGCAGACGTCCCTTGTGCCCGCACCACTTCACAACACCCGTCGTCATTACAAATGGAAACAAATTTATGCATTGCTGCCATGGGTACGCCTCGATTTCACCATTCTAGTCTGTCGCTGCCTCGAGTTCATTGTTCCTGCGTAATGCGTCCCGACTTTGTTACTCCACGTACTAGCGTGAACCGCTTTTAGCGCGTATGCCTGATCCATCCATAACGTGTGGGGGAAATGCAGACGGAGTTGGAGGTGCACGACGGCGTGAGTGCGGGCAAGTACACCATCGGGTTGGGGCAGGACGAGCTTGGTTTCTGCTGCGACCAGGAAGACGTCATCTCCATGAGGTGCGTTTCATCTCTCGTCAGGTGGGTTTCATCTCTCCTTGTCGTGCGTTTCATTTCGATGGAGTGAAATACCTGATCTGGTTCTGGTGCATTGAAGATCGCAATCGAGGCGAAATCAAGAACTGCTAGGGAAGAACAGCATAGACACATCAAGCATAGGACTTCAGGAGATAGGCACGGAGACAGTGAACAACAACAGCAAATCCATCACATGCTGATGTAAGTAAATATTTTTTTAGTGAATTCTCCACTGTCCTTTCCCCCCACCCTTGCAATGCAGCCTGACTGTTGCCCAACGGCTCTTAGAGAAGAACGGCGTAGACGCATCACGCATAGGGCGGCTGGAGGTGGGCACAGAGACAGTGATCGACAAGAGCAAGTCCATCAAGACCGCCATCATGACTCTCTTTGAGGCCAGCGGCAACGCTGACGTGGAGGGCGTTGATTCGTGCAACGCGTGCTACGGTGGCACGGCTGCGCTGCTGAACAGCGTTAATTGGGTGGAGGGGTCGTCGTGGGACGGCCGTTTTGCCATCGTTGTTGCTGTTGACAGCGCTGTGAGTACAGGGAGGGACGTGTGTTGTTTGAGGGAGTTTGGGCGGCATGTGGGTACTGTGAGTGTGTGAGGTGGCATGCGTGGCATGTGGGTACTGTGAGTGTGTGCGGTGGCATGTGTGGCATGTGGGATATAACATGGAATGTGGCGTTGTTCGAGGGAAGGGGTGTGGGTATGCAAATCCAAGGGATGTGGGTTACTGGGCATGGGGTGCTGTACGCTTGCCATGCTCCATTCAGCGCCTCAAACCATATTTCTCTCCTAAACCCGAAACCCGAAACACTAAACCCCTGCCTCGCCTTCTATCCTGCCCTACCATAACCAGGTGTACGCGGAGGGCCCAGCGCGGCCAACAGGAGGAGCAGGCGCGGTGGCGATGCTGGTGGGGCCAGACGCGCCCCTGGCATTCGAGAGTGGGCTGGCGGGCAGCTATGCCGCCCATGCGTACGACTTTTACAAGCCCAAACTCGCCAGTGAATACCCTGTGAGTTGATTTTGCTCGGGAGTTCCACATGAAAGTGATGCTCAGTTCAAACCCTTGGTTGTGCCTCTGCTTGGACCTGAAATTTTATCCTTTGATGATAAGAGTGCTAGCAAAAGGAGTGTTGTGGGGGGGTATATTCCATAGAACCTTGTGAAATGTGCATGACATTCCTTGGATTGCATTAGTCCCTGGTACTATCACCTGAGTACTTATCCCATCACCAATACGTTGCATCGTGGATGCATGTGTGCGTGCAGGTGGTGGACGGCAAGCTATCTCAGACGTGCTACACTAAGGCGCTCGACCACTGCTACCAACGCTTCTGTGACAAGTAAGCTCTCAAACGCCATCCCTTCAACAGTGAGCGTGCTCGCTCTTGATTCCGCTCGCCCGTTTGTTATAGAATTGGAAGCCAGCAACCTTTCGCGTTTCAACAAGCAATGCATGCTTTGAAAGTGCCTGTATGCATTCTTGCTGCGTGCCTGCCTGCTTGCCTGTGTGCTGTTTTGCAGGTACGCCAAGAAGCATGGCTCTGCGTTCTCACTGGCTGATACTGAATCCGTGGTCTTCCACTCTCCCTACAACAAGGTATGGCGGGACTGGTGCACGGCACGCTGGGTTCTAGCCATGCAAGTTGCTTACACATGTGCTTCAGGAAGCAGACAGACTGACACACCCTACTCACCAATTGATGAAGGTGCAGAAACTATGTCTTTCATAAAAATACGGCTTCGGATGTTTTATGTCATGAAATAGGACCATGATGATGCCATGGCCTATGCTTCTGCTCACACACACGTCCCCCTCCTCTTTTCCCCTCGTCCATCTCCCCTCCTCCCTGCGTGTCCCAGCTGGTGCAGAAGAGTCTGGCACGGCTAGTGTTCAATGATGTGAAGAGGGGAGTGAGCAGGTACGTAAGCACAAGGTGCCATAGCCTGTGTAGTCTGTATGGGCCAGGGCATAGACGCACTGTAGAGGGGACGGGTGCAAGAGGGAATGGTCGCAAGGGGGAACGGGCGTAGGGGCCAACATGGCTAAGAGCATAAGGGCTTCAGTTGCAGAAGTGCCTCCACGGCTGGCACTAATGTCATGATGGGTGGAGTGAACAGGAGGACATAGGGATACGGCATAGAGAAACTGTGAGGGCCAAGAGGGGCAGGAACAAGAAATCACATGAGATGTCCCCTTTTTCTTCCCCGTTCCCCACCTCCCCCGCCTTCCCCTTTGTCCCCCATTCATCCATTTCCTCCCGTGCCTATGCAGCGCATATCTGGGTGCAGGAGAGGCGGACGCACTGCAGCCGTTTGTGGGGCTGGAGGAAGAGAAGAGCCTCGTGGACCGAGACCTGGAGAAGGTGAGCTGCTCCTGTGGTTTCACCCTGCCTGGGGAAGGTGATACTTGGGGAAGGTGAGCGCAGGGGCACTCATCTGACCTCGTGGACAGAGACCTGGAGAAGGTGAGCTGCTTGCATGGTGTAGTTTCATTCTCCCTGGGAACGTTGATACTTGGCGCTTAACACCTGAATGGGAACGGGCATCATCTGAACCTCCTGGACGGAGAGGATCACACAAGTGCATTGTGGACAGAGACCTGGAAGGAGGTGAGCCGCTTGCATGCTGTGGACTTGCTTAAGGAAGGTGGTACTTGGCAAGAGTTGTCAAGGACACTTGTAACTACTGTGATTAAGCCAGCTCCCTTAACCCTCTGTGTCTCTACACCTGTGCCCCTGTGCGCTGTGCCCATTCTCCTGCCCCCTTGCCTACAGACGGCCATGCGGGTGGCAGGGCCGGTGTACAGCAGCAAGGTGGGCCCCACCACCCTCGTGGGCAAGCGTGTGGGCAACATGTACTGCGCCTCGCTCTATGGCAGCCTCTCATCGCTTCTTGCACAGCAAGGGCAGCAACTGGTACGCGCGGTGGCTCAAAGCATGGGTGCACTCACAATGCTAGAGGAACTAGTGGTGGCAGCAGTCATAGTGCGGGTAGAATTGGTGGTGCGGGTAATGACGGTGAGCAATCAATCGTGGGAGCAACATGTACTGTGCCTCGCTCTATGGTGTCCCTGCTCACATCGGGAGGGCCATAGCACATTGCTCTTACCCTACGGCTCTGGCCTCATGTCCATGCTCTTCGCCCCTTTCATCTTCCTCCCTCGCGGTCCTCCTCTCCCTCTCCACCCCCATCAGGAGGGCCATCGCATATTGCTCTTCTCGTATGGCTCTGGCCTCATGTCCACCCTCTTCTCGCTTACCGTGCGCCAAGCTGCTGACCCATTCTCCCTCGCCACACTCACCTCTCATCTGGATGTGCACCAGCTGCTCGAGTCTCGCACCAAGGTGGGTTTGTGTGCGTGTGTTTGTGAGGGCGTGTGAATGCCCTCTTCAAGCCGCTGCATATCGCACCTTTCAGTGTGTATTGACTGTCGATCCCTTCTCCCTAGCTGCTCTCACACTCACTGTTCATCTCGAGAAGCACCAGCTGCTGGATTCTTTCACTCACACAGACAAGCTCCTCCCCTTCCTGCTCCCCTTTCTGTTACCAGGTAACACCAGAGGAGTTTGTCAAGACAATGCATCTGATGGAATCCCGATACGGTGCATGCTCCTTCACCCCAGCCACTCCCACGGATCGCCTTCAGCCCGGCACTTACTACCTCACGCAGGTGGATGATTTGTACCGGCGAACGTATGCGCGGAAAGGTGTAGATGCTGATAAGGCATCTGTTGATGGCGCAGTTGAGGCTGCTTCAAACGGAGTTGTGGTGTAGTGGGTGGAGAATACACTTGAGGTCCAAGGAAGTGCAGCGCCGTGTAGTGTAGAGGGTTGGGTTGGGTGAATAGTTAACATTATTGTTAGCTTTTGATTCAGGTACTCCTAGTGTAGAGCATGAAAGCTGCACTTCGTTGGACCTTTTAAATGTTTGCAACATTTGCAGAGGATCATTTCACAGCACTGGCCTTGTTCAGTTCCGAAGGAGATAAGGAAGACACAGTAAGGAAACTAGACGGGAATATTGATTGAGCTGAGATATCACGCGACCAAATGATTCAATAACGAGAACATTTCTTTCCATCCCACACTCCCACTAGGATTTTTTTCCGTATCCTGTCCTGATATTAGTAGGGTTCTTCTTAGCGACATATTTTCGTGTCTGCATTTCCTTCCCCCCGTCCGTCCCGTCGTCGTACCTCGCTCATACGCGCAACGCCAGCATGCAGCCAGCAGCACCCCCCGCGGGTCAATGGGGAGGAGCACAAGCCGCGACCGGCGCCGGCGCTGGCGCAGGCGGAGCGGATGAGCCACGGACGCTGTGGGTGGGGGATCTGCAGTACTGGATGGACGAGACTTACTTATGGAACGCGTTTGCGTCCACGGGCCAGGTCAGTTGGCGTGCCTTTGACCTCTAGAATTATCGGGTAATTTTACGATTCAGCAGTAGCGGACGGACGGGAACCTCTGGAACGTGTTCGCGTCCGCATGCGTGTATAAGCGAGAAATTGTCATAAATAAATAATTTCTCTCTCAGAGACCTCCAGTACTGTATTGTTGAGGCGCTTTTTAGTACGCGTTCCATCGATGGGACTTTTCGTTCTACAGGCGTGGACAGTCAATGTTCCATCGACCTCCACAAGCGTTTCGGTTAAAAAAAGAAGGATTTGAAGGATCGGCGTCGAGACCTACCTTTTCTGCCACGTACGAGGGCTTGAGGTGTCAAAGCGTTTTAAATTTTCTATAAGATCTCTCTCGCAATGATTTGCAAAGTTAGACGGGCGAAACACTTCTCTCGCAACGCTTGCAAAGCCTGGTATTCTGATCTGTTCTATTCTGATATTTGGGGATGCATGGATCATTCAAAACAGGGCAACGGGGCAGCCGGCGGAGTAAAAGCTAGTGGAGTTCAATTGAACTGCTATCTAGTTATCCCTCCCCAAACCCGCTACCTCCCCCCCTTTTACCGTGGTACTTACCCCCTGTCCATCCCCAAAGGTTGCAAATGCGAAGATCATTCGCAATAGGGGTCCAGGGCAGCTCGAGGGGTACGGGTTCGTGGAGTTCACGACTCATGCAGCAGTGCAGCAAGCTCTAATAACCTCTCCCCTCCAACCCCCCCGCCCCCCCACAACGTCCCGTCCATCCCCGCAGGTTGCTAACGCTAAAATCATCCGCAACAGGGCGACAGGGCAGCCCGAGGGGTACGGGTTCGTGGAGTTCACGACTCATGCAGCAGCGGCGCAGGCGCTAGCGACCTACCAGGGCACGCCCATGCCTCAGGCGGAGCAGCAGCCCTTCCGCATCAACTGGGCCGCGTTTGGCGCGGGGGAAAAAGGGTGAGGAGGGGGGAGGCGTGGGGGAAAAGAGCGGGGATTTTCCGGGGGAAAGGATGGGGAATGCGTGAAGTAATGGTATTGAAGGCGTGGTGTGTGGATGGGTTGGGGTGGGTGGGTGGAGGTACCGTACCTGATACTGAGAGCGCAGCTGCTAGCGACCTACCAGGGCACGCCGATGCCTCAGGCTGAGCAACAGCCCTTCTGCATCAACTGGGCCGGAGAAAAAGGCTGATGAGGGGGGGAGAAGGGGGGAGTTAAGGTTGGGAAATGCGAGAGCGGATTTCTCCATATTCGTGGAGACGGGCAGGCGAGCAGACGGGCAGGAGTTCTCCGTGTATGGAGGCGTTACCCGCAGGCGACCTGGCTCCAGATGTGAATGAATATCGGCTCTGCAAAACCTTCTATCACTTCCCCCCCCAACCCCCTCTCACCCGCATCCCACCTCCGTACCAGTGGTGGGCGGCCAGCAGACGGGCAGGAGTTCTCCATATTCGTGGGCAACTTTGCTCCAGACGTGAAGGACTACTTTTTAACTCCTCCTTCCATCCTTGGCCCCCTCTCCCCCTCTCCCCCCCTCACCCCCTCTCCCCCCCTCACCCCCTCTTCTCTCCCAACACCCCAGTGGCGGCCGCCCAGCGGACGGGCAGGAGTTCTCCATATTCGTGGGTGACCTCGCTCCAGACGTGAACGACTACCTTCTCTGTGAAACCTTCCGCTGCCGCTACGGCTCTGTCAGAGGCGCCAAGGTGAGGGGTGGGGAAGGGGATAGGGTTCTGGATCCCAGGATTAGGGTTTAGGGCGAGAGGGGTGTGTGGGTGAGGGGGGCGTGTGGATGAGAGAGGTGTGTATGGCAAGTGACGCTTGGCTCCAGAGTCCAGACACATCCGCTGCCGCGAGGAGTGTGTGGGTGAGTGGGGCGTGAGGATGAGAGTGGTATGCATGGCAAGTGAGGCTTGGCTCCAGACGTGAACGACCATCTGCTCTGCTAGACGTTCTGCTGCCCCTATGGCTCTGTCAGAGGCGCAAAGCTGAGGAGAGGGGAAAAGATAGGGTAGGGTTCGGGGGTTAGGATTTTGGGCTTGAGAGTTGAAGGTTTAGGGTTGAGGTTGAGAGGGAAGGGGTGTATTAAAGGCAAGCGAGAGCAGGTCTTTAGACGCGAATGGCGATTATGTTAGAGCAGGTCTTTGCAAAGCCTTCCAGTGCCACTATAGTTTTGTTAGAGGCACCAAGGTGAGGCCAAGGGATGAGAACAGGCGCAGGGGAATGGGACAGGGTTCTGGGTTTTGCGCTTGCGATTTGGTCCGTTGGATGAGGTGGGTGCGAAGTTACCCTCCCTGCAACAGGTCCCCACCCCGTCCTGTTATATCAGCCCCTTCCTGTCCTGCTGGGCATCAGGTGGTGGCGAACAGTGTGAGCGGGCGGGCGTCTAAAAAGTGGGCGCATGGGCATCAAGGGGTATGGCTTCCTTCGATTCTCCTCGAACGTCTCAACCCCCGTTACCTCTCCCCCCCCCCCGCCGCTCCTCAACCTTTCCTGCGCCTTCCCCTCCCCCCCCCTCCCCTTCTGTTGAACAGGTGGTGGTTGAGAACGTGGCTGGGCGCACATGCACCAAGGCGCACATCCCCCACCCCCTTGTTCCCCAACCCCCGCTTCCTCCCCGCTCCCCCTTCCTGTTTTATCCGCCCTTTCTTCCCGCACTGGAGATCAGGTGGTGGTGGACAATGTGAGTGGGCGCACCAAGGGGTATGGCTTCGTACAATTCTCCTCATAGGCCTGAACCCCCCCCCCCCCCCCCCCCCCCCCCCCTTCTGTCTTCCCGCCCCAATTTCCATCCCTCCCCTTTTCCCCATCGCTCCCTGCCGCACCTCCCGTGCGTCTATTGATCAGGTGGTGGTGGACAATGTGAGTGGGCGCACCAAGGGTTACGGCTTCGTGCGATTTCCCTCATAGGGCTGAACCCACCCTCTTTCAATCCCCTCCCCTGTTCCCCATCGTTCCCTGCTTCTCCTTCCTCGCTAATGATCAGGTGGTGGTGGACAATGTGAGTGGGCGCACCAAGGGTTACGGCTTCGTGCGATTCTCCTCGGAGGAGGAGCGGGACCGCGCATTGCACGAGATGAACGGCCAGATGTGCTCCTCCCGCCCCATGCGCATCAGCGTCGCCACTCCCAAGAAGCCCGGGGCGCCGGGGCAGGGTAAGGGGAAGAGGTCGGGGCAGGATGGGGTAGGATGAGGCAGAATGTGGCAGGAAGGGGCAGGTTAAGAATGGGTAATGGTTGTAGGGTGGAGATGTGTGATGTGCTCCTCCTCGTGCCCCATGCGCAACAGCATCGCCACTCCCAAGAAGCTCTGAGCGCTGGGGCTAGGTGAGGGGAAGAGAGGAGTGGGCCCGGAGTGGAATGGGCGAAGGTGGGTAGAGTACGGTGGGGTAGGGTGAGAATGTGATGTGCTGTGATTCTCATGCCCCATGCGCATCAGCATCGCCACTTACAAGAAGCCCCGACTGGAGCTCCTCTCCCAAAGCATCCTCTTTCTTTACGACCCGGAATTTCCCCTTCTTTCAGGTGGTGCGCCGGGTGGGCAAGGGGGAGGTGCACGGGCGGGGCCCCAGCCCCAGCCACAGGGACCCGGGGGAGAGGACGACCCCAGCAACACCACGGTGAGTGGGCAGTGTGGGGATTTTCAAGGCAAGGGGAGGGAAGGGGAGAGGGCAGGACCCCAGCCCCAGCCACAGGGGCCCGGGGGAGAGGACGACCCCAGCAACACCAAGGTGAGTGGGCAGACTGTTCTCGTTGAACCAGCAACTGTAAAAGTCGGCAATTTGTGGGTTGGCTGGGCAAGGCAGAGGTGCACGAACGGGGCCTCAGCCCCACAGTGAGTGAGCAGACTGTGTGGTGGTAGGTGACAGTGTGACGGGCGAGCAGCTGAGAGCGGTGTTTGGTTCGTGGGCCAAGCTTGGGTGGTGTGAGTGGTGTTTGGTTCGAATCTTCCGCCTCCATTTCCTTCGATATTCCTTGTTCACTGCTGCACTGCCCATCCCATCCCATGGCAGATATTTGTGGGAGGGTTGGACCAAAGTGTGACGGATGGGCAGCTGGGAGCATTGTTTGGGCCGTGGGGCAAACCGGGGTCGCTGTGTTTTGAGTCAAGCTTAAAGCAACCTTCTTCCCGCCCCCGTCCTGTTTCACGGCAGATTTTTGTGGGAGGTTTGGACCAGAGTGTGACGGACGAGCAGCTGAGAGCGGTGTTTGGGCCGTGGGGCGAGCTGGTATACGTGAAGATCCCATTCGGCAAGGGCTGTGGCTTCGTGCAGTTCCGACATCGGTGGGTGCATGGTTGGATGGATGGGTGCTTTGGTGCACTGGTGCATGGGTCATTTAAATTGCTCTTACTCTTATCCTTCCTGCATCCCCCCAGTGTGTAGTAACCATCATCCGGCCTTCTTTTCCACCCCCTTTTTGAGGCACCTCCGAAGCTAATTCTGTGTTGTTTCCTGCTTTTTGTCCCGATTCCTCTCCTCCCCCCCCCCCCCCCCTGCTCCCCCCCTCCCCCCATTGTCAGATCACAGGCAGAGGAGGCGCTGAGGAATATGCACGGCACGGTCATTGGGCAGCAGTCTGTGCGGCTCTCATGGGGACGCAATCCTGCCTCAAAGGTACCACTGCCTCATGCGTTAGATGGTTTATATATGTTTCTTGCATATGCATCTCGATGCGTATGTGTATGGTCACGTGCATGAGCATGTGTTTGTGTATGCGCATGCGTTTGTTTCGTCGCTATTTTCGTTTCGTCTCTAGCCTTACTACTCTAATGCCTCTCCTTGCTGCTAACGACCATTGTCTCTGTTTTTATGGTGGTTCTTTGCACAGCGTACCTCGACATACCCCTCGCAAGGCTCTCAGTGGCAGCAGCCGCAGCAGCAGCACGATCCCAATGCAGCAGCGGCAGGTGGTTGGGGCGCTGCTGCCGGTAACACTGGTTACTACGGAGGGTACAGTGGTTACGATGCTTCAGGGGGTTACAACCAGGGAGCATATGCCTCATATGGTGGATATGGAGGATATGGGGGCTACGGGCAGCAACAGGTATGTGCACATGAGAGATTTTCAAGCAGTCATTACTGTTTAGCTCATAATATACTGGCTTGACTGCATGCTTGGATGGGACTCTCTGTATTCACATTGTTTTTACTGTGGTGCCAGGCTTGGCCTCAAGCTCAAGCTGCTCCAGCTGCAGCGGCAGCATCTCCCGCCACAACACCAGCACCACAAAGTGCAGCAGCAGCGCCTGCTTCTGGATTTGCAGCTGGAGTTACCCCAGAACCCTTCGATCCCCTGCGCCCCATTGACGTGGACAAGTGAGCTAACTTCTGCCTGTCATGCTGTCAATCCCCCATCTGTGCTACCCTTGTGACGTAGACCCTCATTATCTCCCAACCTCTTCCTCAGCAAATTATGTGGCCGCATGCATGATGAGATTGGCAGCTTCATTTTGTTCTCCTGTCTACGCGCCCATTGCTTCTCTGCAGGATGAATGCTCAATATATGGCAAAGCACGAGGGGTCACTTGTGCCTCATCATGTTTGGTTCAAAATGCCAGAATCAGCAAGTGCATAGAGCATTTTTCATCAGTAGTACGGTAACTTCACTTGCAGCATTGATATTGTCATGACAGTGTTATAGAGCATTCACCAGCTATGCATTCACATGCGCAACCCCTCTCAAACAGAAGACATAACAGCACTGGAGGGTGGCTTGACTACCAGCACAAACTAGTTCCACTTATGAAGGTGACCTTGGGCTCACTGGAGAAGTCCACTTTTTATGCAGGGCTTTGAGTTCATGCACTATCATTGAAAATGATGGCCTTTCAGAAGGTTTCCTGCTTGGGAGAAAGTGGGAGCTTAGAAATGAGAGTTCAAGGGAAAACGCAAAAAGTTGTGGGACATACTCTGCCCAACAAGCTCTGATGATTTCTGAAACAGCAGGATCAACTGATGCTGGTATATCCAGTCTCCTTTGCTGGAATCCAACAGCTCCAACAACTTGCATGGCATTCAAGCCCCTCCATGGGCGTTGCATTGTCGAGAGCTCCCAAAGGACTACACCAAAACTGTAAACATCGCTCCTGAAAACAAACAACTTAAGTTGGATAGAAAGCACGCATTTACTGAACAAGCGGTGTGAAAAAGAGTGGAAAAAGGGGACCGAGGTTTAGGCAGGAGTGGCTGGAGCACAAGCAGACAACCTACTTCTCATTTGTAGGTTCATTGCGCAGCACTTCCGGGGCCATCCACTCTGGCTGCATATGATGACACATGATGATCAAAACTCAGACACAGCAACAGTGAAGCAGAATGGGTCATACATACTGTTCCAGCTGCAGTCCTTGATGAGAGATACGTTTGATGCTTGATCTTTGACAGCCCGAAGTCACAAACCTAGAATGCACCTGTGTCAGTGTCACTGCACGTTTCGCAGTCCAAGCAATTACGCACATAAAAAAATGTTTCACCTTCACGACCCAATTCTTATCCACAAGAAGATTTTGAGATTTGAGGTCTCTGTGAACGATAAGAGGGTTGCAGCAGTGAAGGTAATTCATCCCCTTTGCCTGCAAACATAACGTCACTCAAATTGCGTTTACTGTAGAAAGGGATCCTACAATACACTAACTCACCACATCCAGTGCCATCTTTAATCGTCGACGCTCATCCATGCTTGAAGATGCATTTGGCCTTGTCAGCAATCGGAAAATACTTCCCCTGCCACTCCAAGAAGTTAACCACAAGGGTTGACAACCATGGAATGCCACAAAACACACATACCGTGGGAGAAATTCTGTCACAATTGATAGATGTGGAGGGTCAATGATTGCACCCATGAAAAGCAGAATGTTCGGATGACGTAGCCGATGCATCATGGCAACCTGCGCTCAGCGATAGAGTGAGATTATCCTGGGTACATCAAAATTATGACAATGCGGGAAGGATTCGGCCATATGAATACTACAGTACCTCAGACTTGAAATCTTCAACAGCGTCAGCTGGGATTTCTTGATCTATCAGCTTCTTCACTGCCACCTCCTGCCAAAAGCGAGTGTTAACAGAGTGTAATCTGCCAATCAGACCAAGAAAATCCAGAACAAAGGTTCGTACAAAGCCATTCCATTCGCCCTTGAACACTTCTCCAAAGGACCCTGCAATTGCCAGGCAGTTTGTATTTTAACGTTGAATATGGGAGCTTTGATTGTTTAAGGCACATCACATACCTAGTCCCACTCGTTCGCCAAGTGACACTGCCCCCCTTGGAATCAAATAGCCATCCATTGTATATATTTTGATCTCTTTTGAGAAACTGAAATCGTTAGGGTCTTCACATACTGACTGCGAAGCATTTTCACCGTGGTTGTCGGTTTTATCTGCCATGATTACACTCTGCTGTTGAAAAATGCACATGAACACTTCGGCTGGCTTGATTTCAAGCTTTCCCTCATGAATTACCTGCATCCAACCTTGCTTCCTCTGTTTCTACAGCCTGAACAGATTGAGTTGTTTTGGTCAGTCAAGATGAGCAGAAATGATGATGAAAGATCACAATAAGACACTCGTCACCTGATTGTCTGAAAACAACTGTCGTTTTTCTTTATCAGGAGACTGCAGAACAGCCTGAGAAAGGAAGTCTCAACATGAGTCGATGACATGCATTTGTCTGTCATGATGAAAGTTTGTATACCTTTAGCCTCTGAGCAAATCTTGGATTCTCCTTGGCAACATCTGCAACAAGCATGGGAACTTGTGGGGAACCCCATCCATCCGTCCAGGAAGGTGATCTGCGTCGGTTCTTCCTGTCTTCGGGACGAAACATTGGGCTGCTGCTTCCGACATCTGATCCACTTCCATCACCAGATTGATGACTCAGAGGCGTTTGCCCAAAACGTGTTTTCCGAGAATCAGGTTCTGGTCCTGTTACAGTGACTTCAGTCAGAGTCTAGGGTCAACATGCTAAAAATGAAGTGTTGTACACGTACCATCCTTCCCCTGTAATTTCGCCATGGATGCCACCAACGCTGGAAAAAGAGCTGTCCCCACGTCACAGTATTCACCAACAGGACTTGCAATTGGTGAAATTGTAGGCGTTTCCAGATTTGTAACCGGGACTAAAAGGCCTGGCGCTTTCATTAGATCAACCACATATTCTGAACCATTTTCGTCTCGAACCTTGGCCCTTGCATCATCCTTTGTGCCAGTGTAAAACCGACCACGGACAATGCAGCAAGGTACGCCAACTCTATCCGCCAGCACCTGGAAGACAACACGTGCCAATGAAGCTCACCCAGGCAAAACGCGAATGGTAGAACTGTTTGACATACCTTAAAGAGAAGGACCCTGTGCCTGATTAATCCAGAAGTAATCAAGCCAAGTGAAATGTAGTGACTCCGAAATGCGCTCTTGATTTTCCAATATACAGATCGCCAGTCAGACTGCAGCGACTGGTCTGAGTCTGCTGTTCCTCCCATACGGTTTGCAACAAGCTCTGCCAAACGAACTGCGATGCCTCGCCAACCGAGTTTTGCAGTTGTGCAGGCGCCGGAAGGATTGGCTGGACTATCAACTAAAATTGCTTTGCGTTCAAGAAGGATGAGCTCAGCGTCTGACTTTCTGTCCACTAGAACAGCCTCAACAGTCGCTGGGAAGTTGTCAAGGATGATGGATGATGACAACGGAAACTGCTCGGCTGCTCCCCAAACGTCAACGAAACCATCAGGGACTTTGTCTCCATAGGTTAGCATGTTCTTCTTCTGCGCATTTGTCAGCAGTCAGACTGCAGCGCATTTTACTTAGGCTGGGATGACATAAGCAAGAACGGCAGACATACCCAGTAAGTTTCAGAAAAGGCAAGAGCTGCAGTAACAGGTGATTCCGGTGGGGTCGATACGCTTAATCCGCGCAAAGACTTGATGGAGCTCCATGTGTTGAGCTCAACGGCTGAATTTATGAGAGCAGATGATAATACGGCGTGGGCGTCTTCATCTGGTGTGCTTGTGACCTTCGCTTCGCCTACACCTGACATGGTTGCATCATTTACCTCACTCGCACTTGACGGCTGATCACCTGAACTCATTCCGGAAATGCGGAGCTGGGATGTGGGTCGTGTGAGAATGGCGTTCAGGCAAAAATGAGATTCAAGTCCTGGAAGGGGAAAGCGAGGGTAGGAACATTCTAGTTCAGCTCCAAACTTTTCCCCTAGTGGGTGTTCCGTTAGAAACACAACCGGCTGTGGCAAATATCAATAGCCGATTTGGTGGTTGCAACAAATGATCGAATACACTTTGGCGAAGCGGTTCAGATCAACAGATACCACACAGCTTTGCTACTCTTCCCAAAACAGCACCACCACATTCACAATCATCGAGCACCAGATTCCGAGCCAGAGTAGCCACTTAGCAAATACAAGCTGGTCAGCGAACCGCCAGCATCATGTCGTTCCTGAACAGATTGCTTGCATCTCAAGAAGCGCAAGTTAAGGGAGGGACAGCGCACGATTCTTTGGTTGATGGTTTGCGTTCGTCTTTGAAGCTTGATGAGGAGAAGTCAGAAGGTTCTGATGGCGAGTTCTGTGCGATATGTTGCGAAGACACGTCTGCGGATTTGTATTTCGTTCCTTGCCGCCACAAATCGTGCGCAGATTGCGTCCAGAAGCTCAGACAGTCCGCTGTTTATAAGGTCCTGGTGCTAACCAGTTTCTGTGTGGTTGTTTGTTAGTAGCCATGGTTGCAACTGGATTATTCATGAACGTGAATCCTTACGTCTCGTTGCATGCAGGCTGATAAAGGAGTCCGCTGCCCTTTCTGCCGTCAGATTGTTGAAAGCTATTCCAACACGTTACCGCCAGTCAAATGCATCAAGCCTCATGATGATTATCTGCGAGAAGAAAGACAATCCTTTCAGTTACTCATTGGAGCTGGGAGCGCCAAAGGGTTGGCCAAAGAAATTGTACGGTATGGACGGAGTGGAGTTGTCTCAATTGGGGGATTGAATGAGTATGCTCCTCCTCCCAGCGTCACTGGGGCTGATGGGAGTGGATTGCGGTTGAACACGCGGCCGGATGACCTGAAAGAAGGTTACATCGTCCCTCCTCTGAAGCCTTACGATGACTTCGTCGCCATGGCGTATGATCGCACAGTACGTTGTTGCATGAATGATTTACTCGTTATCATAATGATTTGGTTTTGACCTGCGGCGTTTTATACACTACCAGGGGTCAAGGCACCTGGCCTACCACTTGCGTCCAGGAAACCCTAGAAGGTCTAGAGTGGGAAAACAAGCCCTTGAAAGTCTCGCTCCTCATGCCGCAAAGCT